CCATACTTCAGAATAGTTCATGCATGCCTGAACTGAAGAAAATGCCCAAATGTGACTGTGCAGTCCCTAGATCTTAGGGAGTGTTGACTAAATTGGCTAGGGTATGCTTTTTGATATGACTCTAAACAAAGTCATCAAACGTTGCTGCAAGGGACCAGATGGCAAATATTTGCAATGTGCAGGCCTTCTATTCTTTGCTGCAACTCTGCCACTGTAGCAATACATCAATAAAATGGCCAGAACAATAAAACTTTATTTACAAACAAATGGAGGTTCAGATTTAGCCTGGAAACAATAGTTTGCTTTTCTCTGCTCCAACAAAGAGTAACCTTACAGTTTGGTGAACTGTAAGGCTACTGAGACTTGAGAATGACTAGTAGAAATACTTAAATCACATCAGCACTCATTATGAAAACATTTTGATAATCACAATAGTAATGCCAAGTCTTTAACTATTTTTTCACATTTACTGTTTTTAGGTGAGGTTTCTATGTGTCAGTTATCCTTTCAAGAACCTAACTCTATATACATTTATTCCAGGGATAAGGAATAAATGGAGAGTGGGGGACCTAGTCTTTTAGAAGAAAAGTGTTGGATGAACTTGATTCTTGATTTATTATGAATGAGGTTTTATTAATGGGCTGTTCCATTTATAAAATATCCAATTTTAGATAAAGCATAATTGAATTATTCCTGCTAAGAGCTACTCCACTTTGTGATTAAATAAACATTTCCCAAATAAATCATACTTTTTCATACTTTCCCATCTATATTACCCTGGAGTACATAGGCTATACCTGAAAATGAATTCTGGTTACAGATTTAAGAACTTTCCTATTTAAAATATCTTTCTTTAAATGGCACATTCTACCAATTTTCTTTATAGTAGGCCAAAATCCCAAACCAGTTAAAAACACAATAATGGAATAAATTGTCAAAGATAGTAGATACCCAAGGGCTGACATTTACATTTATTATGTGAACTTTTTAAAAATTTACTTATGTTTACAGAACTGGGGTACAGGCCAGAGGTGCAGGGGTGGTAAAAGGATTCACAGAGACAGAGTGGGGTGCAGAACAGGCAGATCGACGAAGTACACTGCTGAGGGGAGCAGCAGGCGAGACAGGAGAGGTTCGCACACCATGTGGGTCACCAATCTAGCCATGGATCGAACTCAATGCTGCAGGGGCTGCAGCTAGTTTTCCAGTGCTGCCCTTTAGCCCATTGTGCCACCAGGGAGGGCCCTACATGAACATTTTTTGTCATGTGCTGGTGAGCGAAAGATATAATTTTCCTCAAGTTACCCGAGATGAGGCAGATCAGTATCGATTCACTTCTCTAAGTCACCTTGAATGGACTTTCATTTTAGCCGTTCTCTTAAGACCTAGGCCACTAGTGGTTAAGTCTTCTGTTTCTTTGCTTTTTAAGCAGTTTAAAAATGCCTGTTCATGCCATTGATCAGGACTTTAGTTAGCCATCACCAAAAGCTGAGAATCTATTAATTCTCCTGCTCCTTCTTTCATTGGGAAATGAATGTAACTGTTATTATTCCTGGCATATGTGAGTTTTGTCTTCTCCATCTGTGTGTTCCTGCTGGAGAGGAGAGGGAGTGCTCCCCTATGTTGCCAGGTTACACTGAACAGTCATGCTGCTCCACAACATTGTGAGTTGTGTCTCAGATTGCAAAGTCTCAAATGAAAAGATAGGAAGACTTTGTTATTGTTACTGTTCTTTTAAAAAGTTGTTACTCTATGAAAAGTAATACAAGCATCTATGTACCTTAAAGTTTTCAGTGAATTTGGTTTTTGATGAAGTGATGGATACATAGCAAAAAGTAAATAAATGGAAACCTTTACAAAAACTAATAAAAAGTAAAACAAATAGGAGAGATTTCTATTATTGCTCCAGTTCCTACAAAATCAAATGAACTTCAAAGTATGCTGCTGTCCTTTTGATACTAAAGAGTTTGCAAATCTGTTCAATGGATAACCTGTTCTTATTACCTGATTTCTAGTCATAGGCGCTACTTTAAGTGTTTATTGATCAGATTTGTTAACCTTGTTACTCAGTTAAATTCAAGAAAGTGTTTAGATGTCCTTTGCATTGAAAGAGTAGCCTTGCTTGCACTTCAGAAGCATCTCACCCTTCACCATTCTTACCCCCTTTGTGAGAAGGTTCACCTGTGTGTTTTTCTTCATTTGTTGTGAAGATTGTTCCCTCATGAAACTGCATAAAATTATTAATATTTTATCCAGCAAATGGAATTTAGATAATAAGTTTTTCATTGCTTGTAGTGTGTTTTTAATTGAATAAGTTAATTTTGCTTTCATAAAAATATGTCCATCAAATGAATTTCCAGTGTCTCCTGAAGAAAGAATATTATTTTGAAGATTCTGCATTCTCATCATTGCAAAGAGAGCCCCATCATATAGCATCTCAGACTTACAACATAATGAGAGATTGATGTGTTTGGCCTTAGGGGCTAATAGTTTAATATAGATATAACTCCCTGGAGAACTGAATTAAGGATGCCGATTCTCATTCTAACAGTGGGGAATGGAACCCAAGTAGTTGTATTTTACCTGCACCCAGGAGCTTCTGATATGGTGACTATACAGAATAGAGAAAGAGACTGTTCTAGTTTCTCTAAATGCCATTTAGAATGTAATAGGAGAGGGAAAAAACAGCTCCCTATTACTAGTTTCTGGCTTTAAAATAGCTGGCTCTTCCTTGAATTCTTCATTTCAGACTTAATATAATTGAGTTTGAATCAAGACCTCATCTGATTTTTTTTTCCATCTCCAATAATTAATATAAAGAGAAACCACTAGAATCAGATAACTGGGGGGGGGCGGGGGGAGTAAACACCATACAGAAACTATATAAGGCTCTTCAATATGTCCAGAAGTTCAGTGGTGGGATGACAAGGGATGGGATGGGATTAGAAGGAATCAGGCCAGTTTGGTTTGAATAGTGGGTTTGGGATCAGTCTTCAATTTAAGGGCCAACAAGAAACCATGATTTTCTACCTACCTGCCATTACTAAAAATGTTGGAAAGTATTCTTAACCATAAAGGCTAAGGTTTCTGCAGCCATATCTAGGTCTATAGACATACATTAGTTTCTCACTGCAGAGACAAACATGAGGATAGGCATTTCCCACCTTGCAATGATCGAGTTCAAATGGACAATTTGCTGAAAAACTTTGAGTAGACACAAGATTTATTGCCTACACAAAGAAATATGTCATGGTGAGGGATGTGAGTAACACATAAAATAATGATTGCATGACTTTTATTAAAGATATTTCTTTGTGTATAATGCTTTCTGAAGCAGGAATGTGAAAGACAAAATCCATTATTCATCCTTTTTTCATATTCACACAGATATGACTGTATAATGAAAATTAGTCTCCTGCCATAGGCATAACTCTCAGTCCCTTTATAATAAATGTTTTCTAGGCACAAGGGATTTATATGCAAAAAGTCATCTTCACAAAGCAAACTGAAGAACAATGCTCTTGTTTGTAGGGGAGACTTATTATATCACTAAGGGCTTTGTGTTGCTTATTGACATTTATATCAGGTAAAAATTAGGAAATATCATTTAAGGTGGACCTACTCCTCCATAAATGTTTTAATCAATTTATGTTTATTCAAAAATTAAATAGAGGAAAGATCTTGTTCTCTTTTAATGTGAATCAAGAGCAGTTATTCAGCTCTGAACAAGGGGCAATATACCAAATATTATTATGTTAAGTACTCATGTAGTTTGACTTTTAAAATTTGTGTACTAAGATGAATATAAACTCACTGAATTCTTGAAAATAATTACTGAATGTTTAATTAATTATGTTTAGGAAACAGCTAAGAATATAATTTCATAGGTTCTCTCCATTTAAATTGATCCATTGTCTTGAAGTAGCTATTGTCTGGTTGAACATGATATTCCAGGTGATGGAACCTAATAAATTTCTGTTAACAGCTGGGAGAGAAGAGCTTTTATCTTCCAGTGGGAAATATTATCAGAAGAATTTTTATGGTATGCCTTGGACAACTTTGTATTATCAACTTTTATGATCCAGAAAAGTCCTAGATACTAATAAAACATCCAAAAAAATCATAAGTTAAAAAATAAAACAAAACTATGTTGGATCTGTACGTATCTTTGCTTAAACTGTAAGAAGAATTTATCAATGAAGGGTAGAAAGTTCCCCTCCAGCAAAAGAGGAACTGTATTTCAAAGTAACAGAACTTCCGTATCACAACAAACCATGTCCAGATAATAAAGAGTTAAAAAAAATATTCCTTTCACATGGGCTAAGTAGTAGCTCTCTTGAAGTTCACCAAAGTGAGGATGACCAATCCAGAGCTATGTCTACAGAATCCATCAGAAAAACTAACATTTAGGTTTCTTTGTTTTAACATCCCAATGGACATATTCCTGGAAAGTATGCTAGACCGGGAGTGCAGATTTCAAGAAAACTATGTGATAACATAAAAGTTTGCTTCTTAATCCTCACCAGGTAATTTATCAAGCCTTTGCTGCCCCACACTTTCAGACTGGAGGCATTACATTGCTCTCTTCCTCTGCCCTTAATCTTTTGCTCCCCACCTGCCCTTAGGATGTCACACTCAGGTTAAAATCACAACTCTTCTTTGTTTAAAATCCTGTAGTATTTTCGCCCATAGTTTCAAATCCTGTAATAGTTTCCCCATAGTTTCTTTGTTTGAAATCCTGTAGTAATTTCTCCCACAGTGCAAATCACTCTTTATGATCTGGTCTCAGTCCTGGTGTTCATTACACTCTCCAATTGCAGGACACCCATGTGTCTCCCCCACTTTCTGGTGAATCCTAGAGGATAGGAATTACTTCTTACTCATTTTTTTGTATCCCCAGTTTTGGCCATGGGGAGCCGCAGTAAGTATAGATTTGGGACTGAGTTGATGGAAATAGGATGACTGCTACTAAGTCCTGACATGTGTTTTCCTTCCCCCAGGATTTTGGCGTTATGTTCCTGCATCACATTGTATCTATTTTCTTGATCACCTTTTCATATGTCAACAATATGGCCCGAGTGGGGACCCTAGTCCTTTGTCTTCATGATTCAGCTGATGCCTTTCTAGAGGTAAGAGTTTTCCTTCATCTTTTTTTTTTTTTTTTTAAGATTTATTTATTTGTACATACAGAACTGGGGTACAGGCCAGAGGCTCAGGGGCGGTGAGAGGCTTCACCAGAGACAGAGTGGGGAGCAGAACAGGCAGATCGACGAAGTACACTGCTGGGAGCAGCGGGCGGGTCAGGAAAGGTCTGCCACGCCATGTGGTCTCCTCTGGGGCAGACGGGAATCGAACTCATGCGGAAGTGGCTTTAGCTTCTCAGTGCAGTGCTTTAACCCGCTGCGCCACCAGGGAGGGCCCGAGTTTTCCTTCATCTTTAAGAGTATAGAATTAAAAAATCCCAAAGATCCCTAGTTTTGTTAGAGCTAGCTGGTGCTGGGAGCAGATGGTATATGACTGCTTCAAAAGAGTTTTTCTTTGTAGGTTAAATTGGTGAAAGTGAGACTTAATGGGAGTTGTACATCCTGATGAATTTAGTCAGTAGTTATAGTTTTTGTTGACAGTATAGACTTTATCTGAGTATTTTTACAGTGAAAAGTGTATATGAATTGTGAATCACATGTAATAACCATTTTTATATGCATATATATATATATATAATGAGAAAATTTTGGTTCTCTTTGATCAACCTTTCAAACTGTTGTTATTTAAAACAATTTAAAAGGAAAAAAGCAAAAGAAAAATGATTCTAGCCTATTTCAAAAGATAAAATTCCAAGGGAAATTTTGACATGGTATTAAGTTTATTAATAAACTCCTTCATAAAAACACTTTATAATTAAATTAAAATTCACTTTCTAGTAAGAAATTTATATAATTGCTCAAAATTAACTTGGCAGTAGTACAATTCATTATAGATACAGGATTTAGAATGTTCATACTGATTTTTGTATTATGTTTGGCCCAGTTTCATTCCTTTGAGGCATTAGTATCTCTGAAGATAGACAAAAGATACTTTTAAATAATAATCTGTTGTGGTAATATAAGCAGAATTTCCATGCTATAAAATTGAATGTATAAAGGCAATTAGTCAAGGTTTGAAGTATATTCAGCATTTTATTTTATTTATTTATTTTTTTAGAATTCCTAACACAGTGAACAACTGAGTTAGAATGCATGTTTTTCTCTCTTTTTTTTAAAGATTTATTTATTTGTGCATACAGAACTGGGGTACAGGCTAGAGGCTCAGGGGCGGTGAGAGGCTTCACCAGAGACAGAGTGGAGAGCAGAACAGGCAGACTGACGAAGTACACTGCTGAGGGGAGCAGCGGGCGGGCCAGGAGAGGTCTGCCGCGCCATGTGGTCACCTCCAGGGCAGGCGGGAATCGAACTCATGCGGAAGTGGCTTCAGATTCTCAGTGCTGTGCTTTAACCTGCTGCACCACCAGGGAGGGCTCAGCATTTTATTTTTAAAACTCTGATCCTGGGCCTCCCTGGTGGCGCAGGGGGTTAACAGAACTATGAAGCTAGCCACAGCCACTGAAGCACAAGGCCAATCCCCAGCCAAGCAGCTGACCCACATGCAGAGCTGATGTTTTCTGTTCTGCCCACTGCTCCCCTCAGCAGTGTACTTCATCTATCTGCCTGTTCTGCTCTGGTGAATCCTCTCACCCCCAGCCCCCATACATACACCATTGGCCTATACCCCATCTCTTATATACATAAATAAATAAAATAAATCTTTAAAAAATAAAAAAAACTCTGGTTCCTAAAATATTATGAAGTAGACATATAGTCCCAATGGGTATGTGTCAGATGCTAGCTGAGTCTTCTGTTGTTTTACTTTCTTACATTGTTGTATATTTTTGTACAATGGTGGTTTTCTCCACTTGTGTGTAAACCCCATACATTTCCCGTCACCACATTGCCTTTGAACCTTGTGCTCTTCCCTCCCCTATTTTTGACCCATCTCCCTCCTCCCTTGCTATTTGCCTCAGATAGTCCCTCAATTAATGGAAGGGAAATCCCCTGAAAATCTACTAACATTCTGTTGAACCCTGAGTTTACTTAAAAGTAGACTTATGCAGCTACCTACAGCTTTGAAACCTATTCGAGACAATCTGCCAACTTTGATATTTATGGAAGGGTGTGCGTGGCACTTTGCATATCCATGACTCAAAAGCTATTAGTGAATTGTTGTCTATAACTGTTATCCAGAAAAGAAAAATAATCTAGAAATTCTAATCATGTAGATTCAAAGCAAATTTTCATCATATAGATTTTCTTTGACATTATAAAACAATGATTGAGAGTACTGAAATGAGGAGGAAGGAGTACTGTCAACTCTTTTAAAGTAAGATCTACAGCCAAGGCACTTCAGAAACATTGATTTTAATGCATAGTGAATAAGATATAAAAGAATAATTACATGATTTACCTAGCCAGAAGGAGCCAGAGGTGATTTTTTTCTCTTTTGTAATAGATTTTGTGATGTTACACCCAAAGTATTCATGAAGGTAGCAGTCAGAATCCTACCTTCCACTCATTTAATAGATATTTCCCCTCAGGAATTCATTTTTCCCATAGCTTTGTATTTTACATAAAGCTCTAAAATTATAGCTTCTATGGATAATGTCAACAGCCCTTTCAAGTTTGACTCAGCCAGTTTAACTTTCCAAGAAGTAGAAAATAACGTTATGAATTCAGAAGATGTGTCCAAATTACAACCCTATATGTGGGTGTGGTGAATTCTATGTGGAAATATAAAAAGAGATGATCTAGCAAAATTATGTTTTTAATACCTCTGTTCTACCTTGGAATCATCTGTAAAAACATAGATCATAAAGAAATAAATGTGATGTCTTCTCTAAACTAAGTTATGACATAAAAAGTGGTTATTTAAATCACTATCATAAATTATTAGGATACTTCTGGTTGATGGCTTTGAACATTAGTTCAAAGCATCTAGAAAATGACCCATTAATGTAACTTCAAAAATTATAACTAAATGGACTCTTTGAAGTGACATAATCTTGGTGCATTCTTCATTTCTAAATTTATGAAAATAACCCAAGTAATTTTCTGAGTACTTCTTATGCCTGTTTATTTAAAACTTGTAAGTCTAACTAAAAAAGAGAAAAAAAAATGCAGAAAGGCCCCCTATAGTCTATGTAATGTTTGTGGCCTTAGTGTTTGGGATTCATAAAAGGTATAAAGGATTATCCAGCACTTTGTGTTTTGACATATTATGTCAGATTCCTGTATTGGAGTCTTTGGCTGGCTAATATCATCTATAATGTAAGAATTTCTTATTTTTCTGTTTTCCTGAAATCAACCATATAATTGAAATTTTCAGGTTGTTGAATATTTTATTAAATCTGTGTCAGTCAGTTCTTCTACTTGTGGCTCATGCTGCATTTCACTCTACTCATGGGTAATTTGTAAACACGGATGCATGATGCATGACGTTGCAAAGTAGCTGGCAATTTTATGCATCTGTTAAGTTACATCGTATAGGATACTCATGCATATTGAAAGGAGCTTTTAATTTAAGGGTTTAACTAAATTAACATGTCACATTCCTTCTTTCATAGGCTGCCAAAATGGCAAATTACGCTAAGTTTCAGAAAATGTGTGATCTCCTGTTTGTTATGTTTGCCATGGTTTTTATCACCACACGCCTGGGTATATTTCCTCTCTGGTGAGTATGCTATCGAGGCACCCCTGCCAGGTAGGCTTTATTAACAATCTTCCTTTTGAACTTCACATTAAAATCTTAGACCTTTAAAGGCAGCAGGAAGGAGAAGAAACAGTTTGATTTCTTCCTCCAGAAGTGAGTTGCTCTCTGTTATTTTACAAGGCTATTAGAGAAAGGATGGGTGGATTATGTAGAGTCTGAAGTTGTGTTAGGCTCCATTAATATATGACTCAAGAATCTTAACCATGGGGTTTGAGTTAAGAAAAAAATAGTGTGTTGCAACCAGTTATATCAGCAAACCTCATATACCCGGATCCTCAACGGGCTGCCCCTAGACTGGCATCAGTGGCAGCATCACCTGGGATTTTATCAGAAATCCAACTTAAAGGGCCCTGCCCAGACATGCTGTATTACATGGTCTGGAGATGGGCCCACAAGCTCTGTTTTGATAAGACTTTCTGGTAATTTTGTTGCATGTTAACATTTAAGAACCAGTTTTCCCATATAATTTTCCTTATTAGTTGGATTTACAGCTTACACAGATAAATGGGATAATTCAAAACCAATCCCTACAATTCTCTGTGGCCCCTTAATGACATTTCTTCAGTTGAGCTAAGCAAAAGATATGATAGATGTTGATGGGATTTGAAATTCTTTCTATAGGAAACTGATCCACTGTTATTAATTTTTTTCTGGAGGACTTTACTTAAACTAAGAAAAAGAAACCAAATCCTCTATTTCACTTATGATGTATGATTGTTAGCATCTTGAGAAATTGGTTGGAATGGGGGAATTAAAGCAGTAGAAATGGTAAAAGCTGAAAAATAAAGCAATCTAATAGTACCTAATTTTTCAGCCCCAAATGAAAAATCAGACTAATAAAGTTGATAGTTTTTAGTGTGTAACATCTATCACCCAGGTTCTGAAACAAATTAACCTATACAACAGACCTCCATACATATACACAACTTCTCTTGAAGCTCAAAGCCCTTTCGGATGCTTACAATGAAAATTCATTTCCAAGCAGCAACTCTGTGTGTTGGTAACACACATTTATAAAACCTCATTATAGTTTATATGATTGTAGGTAGGAGACAGTGAAGTAATTTTGAATATAATGTGTCTGTAAATTATTGCAGAAATTGGAGTTCTTTCAAGATGATTATCAGAACCTAGTAGTAAGAATTTAAATAGAAGAGATTCAAGCAAAATCCAAGGAACATTTCACAGAAAGATAATAGAAGCTTTTCCTATTTAGGATTTCCGAGAACCTGGGCTTTAAAGAAATAAGCATCATTCTCAAGTTCTTTAATTTGCTTCATTTCATTTAAGGTTAGAATTAAAATATCCTCTCCTCTCTAGCTAATGTGTAAAAGCTCTTCAAGCTTACATAGCAAAGCGTTACCTGGAACATGGACCCCAGGATTAGAAATTACGTAGCGCTGTAGTAAGATAACTAATGGGAGAACCTTGGAATGATGAAATACCTAACTGCTTAGAAAAAATTCTTGTAACCAAATATAACAAAACAACAGCTAATATTTTCAGAGGTGGGAAGACTTTGGCTACAGTGCTCCTTATTGCAGCCCAGTTTAAACATATCATGGAGAGAAATATTTTATTATTTTGTAACACAAGAAATAATTTATATAACTCCTGCCATTGTAGTTTTTTTTTTTAAACCTGTTTCAATTGCTGCAGTATAATAGGTATTGATAGTGTATAGGTGACAATAACAAGTAATACTTTAAATATTTACCAATTACTGTGAAATTATTCAAAAATTCAATTTCAACTAGGGAATCTTAGAATTGGCAGAAATCCTACAAGTTATATCTCCAGAGTTCTCCTATACTCTCTTACCAGAATAGGAATTCTTTCAATTTCCCTAACCAGGAGTATGCTTTAGAAGTTGAGGAAGAAATGTTGGGCCCTTAAAATATCTAAAGGTTCTTAATCTGGTTTAGAACCCCATGAAACTTTATATAAATGTGTATATGTATTTTTCCCCACTATGGGAGAGGACCCATGGTTTTAAAGATTCTCAGAAAGATCTGTGACTCCCACCCCCTGTTCTGGACAACAGATTAAATGTCCTTTAACACTTCTGATTGAAAACTCTTAAGAACATGAAGAGTTTTAATAATTATCTATAGTTTGTCTCTTTTTCAGAGGCATTTTTAATCCCTTCAATTATTCCTTCTTGTTTTTCTCTTTTGTTTGTTTCTCAGAATTCTTCATGTCATGATGTTCCAAATGTGGACTAGCTGGTACAGAATATAAGAGAATGAAAAACAAGCTTTATTTAGAACTGCATTTTTTTCCCCTACATTTTCTATTGCAACCTGCTATTTGATAGGCTGTAGGGATTTTATAAACATCTGAGCTGCTCTCAGAGTAGAGCTCCTTTATCCTAAATTTAATTCATTTTTATGTTTTTGTTTGTTTCTTGTGATGACTTACATTTATACCTGATTATTTATACATACTTTATTCCTGTTAGATTCCACCATGCTATTTTTGGACATCCTAGCCTAATTCAGGTCTTCTGAACTATATCTAATATTACTCCTATCCCTCCCTCCACCTTTGTTTCTTGCAAATATGCCTTTCATGCTTCCCTTGAGTCGCTGAGTTAAAATGTTAACCCAGAGCACAGCCTAGGTACACAAGTGAAGAATTTCTCTAGGTTGAACTCAATTTATGGTTTTCCTACTTATTGCTGTCTTGAAACAGCTCTGTTATCATGCCTGCTACTCCTACATGGTTTTATTTTTTTTTAAAGGTGAAATAAAAGACTGTCAAAGGCATGGAAACAACCCAAATGCCCAAAAGTGGATGACTGGATTAAAAAGATGTGGTACATACACACAATGGAATATTACTCAGCAACTAAAAAAAAAAATAAGCACATCCCTTTTGCAGCAACATGGATGGAGCTGGAAAAGATCGTACTTAGTGAAATAAGTCAGAAAGAAAGAAAAGGAAAAATACCGGATGGTTTTACTCATAGCAGGAGTATAACAGACCAGGCAAGAAAATAACAAATAATAATGAATAGCTATATACCAGAGACATTTTATGGGGTGGAGTGGAGAATGGGATCAAAAAAAGTGGGGAGGAGGGAAATGCACTGGACTGTGGTGATGACACACAGGTGACTTGGTGATGGAAAGCCCACAGGGATTACAACTGAGATGGGAAAAGGCACAAAATGATGTAAAAATAAACTACTATATTATTAAAAAAAAAAAAAAAGACTGTCAAAGGGCTTATGGAAGTCAAGATTTACTTTGTTGTATAAGACACTTTCTGTGCAATATAGAGGCGGGGTAAAAAAAGAATGTGAGTTTGTTCAGTGTGACTTTTTAGGGGAGCATTGTTGGCTTCTATTCCTGTCTGTCTGAACATTCATGTGTGACAGTCACCTTCCCGGCCTGAACTTTCTAGTCTTTGCCTTTATCATTTTGTTTGACTTTTACCTTCCAAAGTACTACCATTTCAAAATGTACTTAATGTTTATGAGGCACTTACTATGTAACTAGTACTGAGAAGGGCGTTGAAATTCAATTACAGATAGAATCTCCATGGGACACTTGCAGTTGAATCCCTATAGGTCCCTTCACATTCCAGATTTATAACTTTCAGGGGCATCTAGAGATTATGAATTAAGTTTTGAACATTTATTGAAGGCAAATAAAATAAGTGGATAATCAATATTAAATAATATAGAGGAGTGTACTCAACCAAACAGGCCTCACATTCTTTTTCTTTACCCTGCCTCTATACTACAGAGAGAAGGTCTTAAACAAAGTAAATCTTGACTTCCATAAGTTCAGACAGTCTTTTATTTCGCCTTAAAAAAAAAAAACAAACATATAGAAATAGCAGTACTGAACTCTGTCAGTTAAATAAAGCAGTGTAGTACATATAGTATGGATGTGTGAAATAGTCACTGGTTACTGGAGGGAAAGTGTCAGAAGTAGACTGGGCTTCAGTACTAGCAAGAACTTCATAGACTTTTTTTCTCTTTAAAAGATTTGTACTTCAGCTGCAAGAAGAAATAAAATATTCCCTGTGCCCTCTACTTCTTTTACTTTGCAGCCATTTATTTCACAGTCATCAGTAATCGCTTCCAGGTTCCTCAGAACCATAGTAGCAGCCTCACCTAATCTGTCAGAATGCAGTTTGTGACCCCGGTCACACCCCACTCATTCTCTGTTGTGTGTTCAGTTTGCACTTCATAAAGACAGACAAAGCCTTTTCAGAGCCATGCACTGTCCCTCCAGCCTTTTCTTGGGCCATATCTTGTCCTTCTAGAGCAGTGCTTCCCAATAGAATGTAATGCAGATTTCAAAGTAATTTTTTAAAGACTTATTTATGCATACAGAACTGGGGTACAGGCCAGAGGTGCAGGGACAGTGAGAGGATGCACCAGACAGAGTGGGGAGCAGAACAGGCAGATCGATGAAATACACTGCTGAGGGGAGCAGCAGGTAACTCCAGTGGAACAAACATTTCATCACACTCCTCATTTACTACTTGTTATTGAGTGATTCTTTTCCACCTTTTGGAATCATACTGTTTTATCCCTGGCCTGCCCTGGGTTGATTTATCCATTCTGCCTGGAAACCTTCTATCTTATCTATAAATCAGGAGATGGAGAATCATTTTCATAGTCCTTTTCCCTTCACTCCAAGCTAGAGTGCTACCTACTGACCTGGTGATTATTTCTGCTCAGAGATTATTTGGGATGCCCCCAAGAGAGAGGTCACAGGACCAGACCTCTCCCCATGGTTCCTTTCCGGTGGCATCAATATCCCCTGCAGTGTGCCTGCACAGATCGCCTCTGTCAACACTGCCTCACTGCTCTCAGGACCTGACTTAATGTGGAAATGCAATTTTTATATCTTGCCTTTGGTCCCAATAAACAGCCAGTCTATTTTGAAGGGAGGATAATGAAATTAGCAACTTCCTGTGACTCCCCTCCCGCTATACTCAGT